ATTTACCTTGAGTCATTCACTGGCTCTCTATACTCGGTAGAGTAGGAAAGTCAAGTAGGGATGTTGTGAGGGGTCAGTTATATTACCTTGAGTCATTCACTGGCTCTCTATACTCGGTAGAGTAGGAGAATCAAGTATGGGGGTTGTGAGGGGGCGGTTATATTTACCTTGAGTCATTCACTGGCTCTCTATGCTCGGTAGAGTAGGAGAATCAAGTATGGGTGTTGTGAGGGGTCGGTTACATTTACCTTGAGTCATTCACTGGCTCTCTATACTTGGTCGAGTAGGAGAGTCAAGTATGGGTGTTGTGAGGGGCCGGTTATATTTACCTTGAGTCATTCACTGGCTCTCTATACTCGGTAGGGTAGGAGAGTCAAGTATGGGTGTTGTGAGGGGCCGGTTATATTTACCTTGAGTCATTCACTGGCTCTCTATACTCGGTAGGGTATGAGAGGTGGGAAAAGCTATAACTGGAGTGTGAATTCTGATCCAAATTATCATTCCAGCAGTAGTCATCAATTGGACCAGTGTGTATGCTATCCTCGCTTTCTTCTGAACTTTGAGTCTGTATTCCATGTTTACTCCCCAACACACCGGGTTTACTCAAGTTGAATACTCCATTATGTTTACTTGCATCCTGTACTCCACCCTGCTTTAGCGTGTCTGAAGCTGGTAATCCCTTCCTGGCATTACATTTTGCACATGAACCCGTATTATCCCCACAAATACAAATATTACGTTTTGTGTACTTGTTTCCGTAACAAGGAGATCTAAAGCTATCACCCACGTTATCTTTGTAATCATATGGAGTCTGCTGTCCACTCTCAATGGCTGCCTGAAAGCTTTGACTCCGACAGCGTGGGTAGTGCACCATGTCATCAGATGCATAGTTTTGATTGGCTATTGCTGCATTGAAGCTCCATCTCCTCAGCCCATTGGCTGCTGGAGTCAGCATTTCACATGTGGTATTGTCGTTATGGTCCACTGTCCTGTTTCCATCCAAATGTCCTTCTGTGTGGCCATGCTCTTTGTCAAAACTACTCGACGAACTCTGGTACACAATATCATCACTCTCCCACCGAATGGTCTGGAACTCCTTCCGTCGTGTCTTTCCGTCACAGCTTTTGAAGGTGCTGGTGCTGAGGTCAAGGTCAGCAGCCCCCGACGTACTTGAGGAACTAACAGACTTGCACAGGTTTGTCTGAGAGTTGTTGTTGTTGCTCTCTGTTGATGTTTGGCGCTGAGGTGGACAGCGATTCCCGAGAGGTGTGCTGGAGTAGCCCCAGCCATTGTACATATGGTCTTGACATTTACTGCACCCTGACGACAGGTCCATCTCTGAGCTGGCTATGCAAGGACCTTTCCTGCCACGATGCAGGGGCTGGTTCCCATTGAAAAAGTCAATGGTGAGGGCCTCTGAAAGAAAGAGCAGAATATTGTTAGTTAATGAGCTTCTAGAAGTTTGGATTGTTTGTGTTTTACATCCTATTTACAGCTCTGATCATTCAAGGATGTGCCAGGTTTTAGTGGAGGAGGAAAGCTGGAGTTCCCCAAGAAAAAACACTGCCCTTCAGCTAGTACCTGCCCCACATAGGTTTCGAACCTGCGACCAAGTGGTGGAGGGCTATAGTGGTAGCAGTATATCAGACGCCTTAACCACTTGGCCATCGCAGCCCTCTCTTCTAGAAGAGAACACTGATCAAAGCCTTCAACAATACTGCAGAAATTTAATGCTTACAGCAAATGGTAAGGGCCTAACACTGAACCACAAAGTAGAATTTTATTAGTTAAGAAGCTTCCAGAAGAGAACAATAGTCAAAGCACTTCACAACATCCCAGAAATTTGAAAATTTTTACAACTTCTAACAACACATTAATTCAATGTCTAGATCCTTTTGACAACACCAACAAAGCTAAACATTTAAAACTTCTGATAACACATTAAATTCAATGTTTCTGGCCATTGACAACACCAACAAAAGTTGAAATATTTAAAGCTACTGATAACACATTAAATTCAAAGTTTATAGCCATTGACAACCCCACAGAAATTAAATATCTAGTCTCTGGTAAAAACTTTGAAATCCTATTATTGACAATGTCTGGTAATATGTTAAATTCAGTGTTTATGTCCTTTGACAATACTGAAATTGAATATCTATACAGCCTCTGGTAACAAAACATAAAAGGTTAGAAAAAGACGGAACTCAGAGATTTTTTTTTTAGACAAAATGTATTGTACTAAAGAAGTGAGATATATAAAATCCAATTATAACCATACCTCAATACATCACACTTAACCAGAGAATCAATAGTCTCTCCAAGTCTACGGGACAAGTTTTCCATTTGAACACAACGCCCAGATGGTATTCAATACCTTATACTAGAGACGGTCTGTAACTTTGTATTGTATTGTGCACAGCCATAAGATTCCCTCACACTATCTCGATGGGTGTGGTGGAAGCAATGATGTATGGGTAATAAACAACATTGGATTTCAAAATTTGAAATTTCCTCAAAAGTACAACTCATTGCAATTTTCTGCCAAAACGGCGATCAATATCACCAACTAGCATTAAAATGTGAAGATTTTACCACAAGACAGGAAAAAAAAGCAAAATCAGCTAAGAAACCTTAAAATAATACCACAAAAAATAAATAAGGATGGTGGGTACTTCTATGTTTTGATGGAACATGAAGATTAGGGAAGCCATGGTTAGGAATTTTAAAGGTCAATCATGTGTGAAATGTGAGTGTGAGATGACACCAACCCACTTGTATCAAAACAGGCTAGCACTGCATTGATTTTCACTCACGACATGCCACTTTGTTGCCTGTGTTTCTCAAGACAACCGTACACCAATACAAGTACGAATTCACGTCGCAAATAAATACAAGAGGCCCAGAGGGCCTGTATCGCTCACCTGGATACCTAAGCAATCATGGCAAACTATTCTCCAAATGAGATCAAGGGAATATGCCAGACCCCAAGGCCAATCCTTGTAGCATAGCTATATTAGATTTTTCATGCCCAGCAATTTTATGTATGGTTATGGGGTGGGGATCTCAACTGTTTCCAAGCTTTGACTCAGAAACTAGGTCCCTAGA